TAATGTTACATCATTACCCCGAGATTTATTCTCTCAATATTTACTAAACAGAAACTTGAATGGAAGTACGAAGTATTTCTGTTAGTAGCCGATGACAAAAGTCACATATTTTGTGTTAAAATATTGTTGCTAATTAACAAATGTGAATAGGACTGTTTTAAGATATTGTTCAAACATAGTCTACAAACAGTGAGCAATTTGTGAAATTAAACCAGGTCCAAACCTAAATTAATTTGACGTCGTTGGCATATTTTGATAACAAACAATGTTTTTTTATCATCTGAAGTACGTCATGCGTCAGCTTCAAATTGTGTATGTATTTTAGCTTGTTTTATGAAAATAAACCCAAACAGTTGAACTTATATCGACAAAACCGAAACTGTAACAATTAACTACTTTACACTGGACAATGGTGCGAGCACTTTGTTTACTCGTCATCTGATTATGAAGAATGAAAAATAATCATATATGGGCCCAATTTCGTCATTTCATTGTGGAGGCCTTATAACTTAATGTTTACTCTATTCACAGTTTCCTAACTTCAAATGACTTTATGATGTAGTGTGTGAGTGAGTGACTTTGGTTTTACGCCGCTTTTAGCACTATGCCTACAATATCACCGCAGAGAACACCAGAAATGGGCTTCACATACCATAGCCATGTGAGGAATAGAACCCGGGTCTTCGGCGTGATGAGCGAGCGCTTTAACTACTAGGCTACCCTGCCACTTTGTGTAGATATATAGGGAAGGAGTTGTTGAAGTAAAACCTACACATACCTTTTTAAATATTGTTACCCTGATCTTAATTAGAAATATTAAATAATAGAATTGATAATAACGTACACCAAACTGTTATCATATCTAACCTGATTCTTTGTGATATTTTGACAGGTTTGGGTTGGAATTTGTTCAGATATTTGTGAATGGTATGGTAATATGTTGTGGAAAAGCTCAATTAGTAAAGTTATAGACTTCAGAAAGTTATATCATGATTTGCAGTTTGTTGTAGCAACCACTCCATGACTTTTTGCCACATCTCAAAGTTAACTTTAAAAATCAGTAAAACATTTAATCGATTAAATTCTGCCACGGTCAAACCCAAACTTCAAGAGAATACAAATATGTGTACAATTTCTTACTGGAGGCAATCCTGCTGAGAGCGCTCGGGTCGAGAAGGTAAGGGCAATTATGTTTCTCCAATATTAATGTTCAAGCTGAAGGAAACATACACGCGCGCGCGCGCACACACACACACACACACACACACACACACACACACACACACACACACAGACTGATGGTTATTCACAGTGCAAGCCACAGGGGGACATTCTTTTTATGGCACTGGAACCTCAGGGCCTATAGTGATGTTCTTCCTGAAGTTATGCAGATGATTGATCCGTTCAAAAATTATTGTAAAAGTTGTTTATGACTTTTACAGTTCAGGTTAGATCTTATCCATAACTTGTATGCTGGTGCAGATGAACCATCCCTTAAAAATGCCATCTGCAATAACCCTTACAGTATGTCGCCACATTATATTCCGATGAGTAAAATCCAGTGGGTGAGTGCGTATTTAATCATCTTTAAGCAGATATCTATAGTAAGAAATACACTCTTATTCAATAACTTGCCATATATACATTGTTCTCGTCACGATATGACTAAAATAGTGACTCTAAATAACAACTCACTCACTAACTTACTCCTGCCCTGTTCTGTCTTGCACTGCCTACAATATTTTGATACAGGCCAAAATATGACTGACGGTTCATCACAGGGGTTATACTTACGTGGTTCGTCATCAATCCGATCGTGGTTACTATTACAATGTTGCAAGAGGACTTCTTGACCCAAGTACTTATCACCAATTGTGGGTAGAAAGTTATTGAATTTAACGTATTTTCCCACCGTTTTTAAGATCCCACGTATAGATCAAATGCTGGGTTTGAATCACAGTACATGATATTGCTTCGTCCAGAGCTGTCTTAGCTGCAGGAGGCAAGACGATATTTTAAAGTGGTGTTATGAAATAAAGGTCCTCAAGGCTTCAGATTGACCTATTATTTGCGATTCTTCAAGGGAGCAGTTGTGGATCCAGTAATATTGCTTTGCCATAATCGTCCTTTGGGCCGAAGGTGTGAATAGATCTTAAGAGAAATTTATTTTGTTTTTGATTACATCTAGTTGAGAATATGGTGTAAGCCTAGCTTAACCATCTGCCAGGGAGGACGGCGAAAGGTCAGTGAGATGATCTGATATTAAGATTTATGCAAGCTGCTAGGCGTGGTTGAAATATATTTCCTTGAGAGAAATCCAGTCAGAAGAGTGCAATCTGCCTCTTGCCTTTCATCTTGAAGTTGCGGAATGATGTTAAGCGTTTGTAATTCTTGTCTGCAGGGTAACAGCAATAACCTGTCTAAAACAGAATGAAGTTCCTCATGGCGTGCTTGCTGACACTCGCTTTTTGTATTTTTGTCGCTGTCGCAAAGAGAAGACGTGTGCCATTCAGGAATTGCCCCTCTTCAAAATCTAACAGTGGAGTCATGATGACCAAACAAGTACGGAGCAGGATAGAGTGTTCTGTAATCTGCCTAAATAACCGGGACTGTCTGTCCGCCTCCTACTGCAAGACAAGTGATGGCTACATCTGTCAGCTGAGCAGGTTCTATGCTGAAGGAAGCTGTTGTGGACGGCGACGTCTGTTGGCTGTACTCAAACAGTAGTTGTGAGTTATCATCCTTTGTTTTTCTGATGTAGTATCAGGTGTTAAATAAACTGATCCCTCGTGAGTGAAAATGCAAAGTCGGCAGTACCTTTGCTTCAACGAAATAAATAGTCACGGGACCAGTATGTAAGTATTATGAAGGCGCACTGACAGAAGATCTGTACACTCGTCATACTGGGAACAAGGGGGCACCTGCATGGACCCCAGGAGGGCTTACACCTTTCTTCTAATGGCTAATGTTGCAGTTGGCCAGTTGTTCACTTATTAAGCCGCAATGTAATACATGCATATATTCTACACTCAAGAGAGTGGTCTCAACAACACATTAGTGTGATCATACTTTACCTGTCGAAGGGGGTTACTATGTACTTCTATTTCACATCAGTCAACGGAACAGCCACGATGTCAATTACTAGTTCTATGCAGGTATCGTCCGCCTTTGGCCGATAATCAGCTGAATGTATATTGTACTTCCTGCCTGAAAGAGCTATCTCGAGTATCTCACATACGACTATACTATTATCGAGTATAAGTTTCCTGTTGTAAATGGTAATTGGTTTAACACATATGTATTTCTAGTAATCATACAGTTTGTTATATGCTCTTGGTGCTAAACATGATGACTGAAATGCAGGTACACCATCAGGTGAGCTAAATAAGGTATTTCGCTCCTTCCAACATTTATTACGTTTGTCTATTTCTTTCATAGGTTGATCCATGTGAGAATGGGGGGACATTCAATCCTCATAACAGGACCTGTCACTGTGTTAAAGGGTTCCATGGTGATTACTGTCATAGGCACGCTCGAGGTATGTACCTTAAAGTGATGGTGTTGACATGTTATACGCCCAATTGCCCTCAGTATTAGGCAGTCGGCTTGCAAAGCCCCACACACACACTCTTGTGATCATACAGGCGTTGACCAAACGTTGTGAGAAGTTGACAAAGTTGGCGCTTGGTAACATGTGGATAATCTTACTCTAATCTGACAGCTGCTCACAGAGGCAAATAACATATCGTTCTCATTTCTTTCACAATAAATGGTCTTAAAGGCATATTATGGAAATGTAGATGCATGAACACAACTCCAAAACTCCCATCGACAGGGATTTATTAAAGTGTTTTCGGTAGTCGTTGACAAATCATTGGCTAATTATTGTTGACATGACTCGGTCCATCGATGAGGTTTAAGAAACTAAAAGAAGCAAAATGATTCTTTTAGATAATACATTAATTAGAGCATTTAACTATAACTTTTATGAACTTTCAAATATAGGATTGCAAGATTATCAAATGAAGCATTTCAAAATTGTTAGGTAGAACGTTTGAAGATTGTCCGACAATGCATTTCAATAACGTGCTTGAATGACAGCTTTCTATCAAACTACACAATAATAATGGTCAAAATATTCCAAATGATAATTCCTACAGCATATGCTATTCAAATGTCGTAAAGTACACAATATATGATTAAGAATACTCACATTTGAGTTGCCATACAGAGAGGTTTGCAGACAGCCAAGTGACCATGTGGATAGCACAGTGAATCAGACTTTGCATGAAGATTTTGGGCAAGGGTTTGGTCATGTGATCATCAATAATGAAAGTGAGGCTATAAAATTACTGATTAAATTTGCAAAAGTTTTTGTCATTAAGCTGGATTTGAACCCTAGCACTTTGGATTTCCAGTCTTGTGTGTTAACCACTAGGCCACCGTACAAGACACTCATACATGCTTGGTACTGATTATGACAACTTGTATTTAGCATGAACAAGAAATGTAAATCTAAACCAGTTCTTAGGATGACGTTGTGGTAAGTAGGTGTTGCCGCAGACACTGGCAGTGTGCTCATTTCATAGGGAATTAAACCCCCCAAATTTATGCAATCCTCGTCATAGTTTAGACCATTGTTGTCTAAATCTCGTGACTGAATTTTGGCATATTTATACTGGTCAACATATTTTTTCTATTTTCTTAATTCTTTAAGATTAGGATGTCTGATATAAGATAAAATGTGAGAAATCATTTTAAGTTTTGAATGGACCTGAGGGTCTTCACTTTCATTCTGTGTTCACAGAAAACTGTAATCAGCTTCTTACCAGAACAGATGATACGGCTATTATGTTGTTCGTGCTCACTCATTAATTCGCATTGTTATTTCTAGTGGTTAAAGCCTTCACGCTGTAATATACATCTCACGGCAACAATGGTCACATTTAAAGTATAGGCAGAGTATGCACTGATTTCAATGCTATTCCAAGTTTCACAAAGCTACCGTAGCACTACAACTGCCGTAAGTCTATGTTACAGTATAGGAGGTAGGAATGCTACACGGAAAGTTGCGAGATCTCAGGCTTACGAGAGCTTAGTGAAACGGGGCACTGCTCTCCTGCATCCGAGGAGGGTTGTAGTTTATTCAGGAACTCGGTCAAAATATAGAGCAGACCATGGTCCCCGACGGTGTATTACAGTTGGAAGATTGTGAGAACACGAATAGCATGAACTACGATGTCACTTAACACTGTTGAGTGAGTGGGTTTAGTTTCACGCCGCTTTTTGCAATATTCCAGCAATATCACGGGAGACACCAGTAATTTGATTAACACATTGCACTCATGTAGGGAATCGAACCCACGGCGTTACGAGCGAACGCTTCAACTACCAGGCTACCTCACTACCCATAAACACCATTGAGCTGTCAGATGTTATCGAGCAAAACCTCGGCTGTGCTTCACGTTAATCCGGTGAGCATACTGGACGTAACTGGTTGTTTAGCAAACTTTAAGCTTTGTGTGAAACACCAAAAAACAACACATCAAAACAACTACAACAAAACAAACAAACCACAAGACACAAAAAACAACAACAAAACAAACAATCCAAAATAGTCAGCACTGTACGATAATGTGTCCTATTTTCACTGCAGACTGTATGGAGACATCGCTCGAAAACCAAATATACACCATCCAACCGATCGGGTCTCCACAGAGCTTTCAATGGTTGTGTCTTACCCCTGCTAATAACTACACTTTATTGGCTCTGCTCTACAAGGCTTTTACCATGAACTTTAATCAATCATGGCAGGATGCGAAGCATGGTATTCTACCAACTATTCCTCCTACAGGATGCATTTTCATTGGTTTGGAAAGGATGCACCAGTTAACTAAACAGGGAAGGTATGATATGTTTCTTAGTTTCCACCCCGCTAGTAATCCGTCTGGAAAGGTGTGGTACAGAAACTTCAGAATCGCCCCGGAATCAGAAGGCTACGCTTTGTACTGGGACACCTTTGAAACAGAGGTCGATGACTATCTGGATGGATTTGGAGGTGCGGGTGACACCACCAAAAATTTGAATGGACAACGATTTGGAACTCATGACAAAGACACTAATGGCTGTGCCCATGCCAAGAACGCTTCATGGTGGTATAACCCAACTGGATGTACAATATTAGTTTTGGAACCAAATGGAATGTCTTGGCCAACGAACCGATCCGGTATTGTTAACATTGAATACATTTGGTTTGTGAATACAGGCATAATGCCAGTTCATTGGTATTTAAACGATGACCTTGTTCTTGAATAAGGTTTCGTGTTCTTTAGCGAAAAAAACAACAACACGATGCATATACGTTCAGATGTAACAAAATGTTCACAATTTGCGCGGAGAAGATATTTCTGTGAAAACCCCTATTTTACCCCAAAATGATCCTAGAATCTTTACATGTGACAAACATTTGTAATACGTTAGTGACAATGTGTCGTGCGAAGACTACATTCATGACCTATATTAAGCGGTTGACATACAAAAAACAATCAAACAATTTCAACAAAAAGGTGTTAGAACCAACATCAAACGTCACTCTCATTGCAATAAAGAAGTAATTCATCCATATATTGTTATCCTTCTTTCCTGCTCCAACTTCTAAATGCCTCTCAAAGAAGATGTCATCAACCCGAGGTTCTGTTAAGCTCAAGAACAGAGCATAAACGTTCCTTCTGCATAGTGAGTTTGTGTGCTGATTAAAAGGCAGATATAACAATCAACTATGACAACGGTACTGGAATCTGTATCGAAACGTCGCTTAATAGTAATAATGGAGATGTTGTCATAAAGTACCATGTCTTTCTCATTTTGGTATGTTCATCTATTGAACAAGATATACTGTGAAACTTTGGCCTTATAATTCCAGATAACCATCATTATTACCCACGTGATCAACGTAAGGGTAGTTGTATACTAATGTCGTACGTCACACGAGTGTGTCGTAACGACTTGACCTGAGATTCTAACGATTTGATTGGATAACCGATGACCTCTCAGATAGGTCATGTATTGACGGAACTACTTTTTCATTCATAACAAACACGTGAATTCATTCATTTTAAAACTTATATGCATTGTCACACTCCGGCACAGCGATGACTAACATAACATCACTGCCACAGGCTAATTTGCATATCACGTGACCGGACTTTTCTCTTGCTTGTAAACAAACGCGCATATTCATAATAAGAAGAGACTGGACTCACGAAAGCTTTTCGGTGCTCTCTTCATAACGTTTTACATTGTTACATATATATTCTTCTTCAGTTAGGTCTATGACAGTACATATTTAGATATCAAACTGGCTGCATTGTTTGCTCCTTATCAGCTTCGATGACAGCACGTGGAGCCGTACAACCTATGTAAACAATAGATCGCTACGCAAATCGAAATAGTGTCACATGTTTTTTGGATATTTTCTCTGTGAAACTAAACAATTCTATTAAAGATGATTAGTTAGATGTGTACACTCGTCAAAAATAAAATAGTAAAAGAAATCTGTACATTATATTGAATGGACATTGCAAGATGTGACGAATCGTCACATTTTTCTGGCCTGTGGCAGCGGTACTATGCTGGCTTGCCGCGCAGGGGAGTGATGCATTGTGGGAATGTAAACATTGCGAACGTTGCCGTATCGCTGTTTTATTAGTCTAACTGATACATTATATGCGTCGAAAAAACATAAACGCAAAGTTTCCACCAGTGAGGTTAGCCGATGGAAGCAACTGCAAACTAAGAAACGGGGTGCTACGGAGTAGTTTAATGTAGGAGGCTGTACGAAGCGATGACAACTGACATGCATCGTGACGTCTGTTACCAAGGGGACAGACGAGCAAGGCGTAGTGACCTCATTACAGTGTGACGTCATACAAAAGTGTACTACAGAACAACTTTCTTCCGCAACCTCTTTATGAAACCGGTTTCGGTTTGAAACCATAACAATACCAAAAATACGCTATTTTGTCAGTTTAATGCATGTAAGAAGTGGGTAATAAATAAAATGCCACACTGGGTCTCGTGACTTTCCTTTCGCTTGGTCAGATACCATAGGAAGGACACTCGTTTCGCATAATTCGTATGTAATGAGACTTCGTGTAGTATTCTCTATTTACCAGACAATAGCCAATCCTTGTCAGAAACATTGTGAAAACATGTTTTTTTAAAAATTAGATCAATGGAATTATAATTTGTAGATTACATTAATACCTGAGCAATTGTTAGTGGCTGTATCCTCAAATGGGGTTAGATGGTTGTAAAAGTATTGTCCCCCCTGAGAGGGTATGTTAGTCCCGAAACATTCAAAGTAAATTTTGATCGACAACTATCTTTAATCGTAGCATTTGTGGCTAGTTTTGTTTAATAAAACAGCATTGCGTATTCTTTCTTCTGTAACCTTTAATTTCTGCGGCTATTATAGCAACACTATTCGGTGGTCACATTGACTTGATTTTCACACGAAATAGATTTTCACACACTACTAGAGGTCAACAGAAGTCTCTAGCCCAAGTCAAGAGGTTATTACAACTTGTTAACACATAGTATCGTTAATGACATATGATGGGGGGGGAGGATAAGAATAGAGATAACACGACAACTTGTTAACAAACCAAAATATCTTGGACTTTATTTCTTTGACCACATCACTCTACATACATGTACTTCGCATCGACTGTACAAACCCTTCACTCACCTATAGTGCAGATTACAGGATTTTTCAGTCGACAATAATGATACCAATTTTGTTGCATAAATTATGTTTTTAACCGAAGTTTCTCGTTATTTCGATTTATTTCTATATAATTGGCGAAATTTCGATTTGCTTGTTGTTACGTTATATTTTGGTAATGTCGATTCTTTTTCGTTCGTTCATGGCATACAGTTTTAAAGTCTCGACACGCTGTCTCGTTGGTTCTCGGTAAGTGGGCTTTCCTTCGAAAACATTTCGAGTATGTTTTCTTATTTTGATTATTTTCTATCCATGCTACACGTGGCATTGCTGGTGAGGTGTTTTTCGGAGTGAACACTAAAGTAATTATGACTGTTTACACACTAATAAAATAAAGTTGATAAAGGTTTTCTACCTATGTCCTTCCACATTGGCAAATGGTTTTTTGAAGTTACATCATTACCCCGTGAAGTCTGGACATAACACCTACTCGACAGATATTTGAATGGAAGTATGGTGTATTTCTGTTAGTAGCTAATGACAAAAGAAAAAAATCTCTCAAGATGTTGCTAATCAACAAATATTATTAAGACTGTCTCAATATTTTCGTTCCAACATAGTCTACAATCAGTGAGCAATTTGTGAAAGTAAACTAGACCTCCCCACCTAAATTAAAGTGACGTTGTTCGTGTCGTTATAATATTTTGATACCAAACAATGTATTTAAACATTTGCAAGAAGTACATCATTCGTCAGCTTCACATTGTTGATGTACGTCGGCTCGAAAAAATAATTGAATATGAAGTGACAGAAACCGAAAGTTTATCAATGACGTTGAACTAAACTGAAGGAAAATAATAAAGGATCGCACCCATTGCCTGGCATCGAAACTGAAAACAGTGACTCAAGTCTTATGTTTGACATGATAAAAATCTGAAATTTTATGCGTTCCCTTATTTTTTTCTCTCAGTATATTTTACACTGAACAATGTGAGCTGTTTGCAATACCGTCATTTCATTGTGAAATATTTCTAAGTGGAGGGCATACATAGTTAATGTTTTACTATATTTGCAATTGCCTTCTTCTAAAGTTTGGGTTGAAATGTCTTCAGACAACTGTACACGATATGTACTTCGTGACGATAATATTTAGAAAGTAGTATCACGACTTGCAATTTGTTGTAGCAACTACTATATGCCTCGTCGTTACCGTGTAAGTTGACCTCCCGATACTGCAAACGTTTTAATCAATCGAATTCTGCCAAGGCCAAATCAAAAGAACGTGTAGAATTTCTTACATGAGGCAATCCTTCTGAGCGCGCTCGGGTCCGGAACAGGTAAGAGAAGTTCTGACTAGAGTAATTGTTTTCTTCAGTAATCAAATAATGTCCATTTGAGCTGTTAGTATCGGAAGACACATTTTATATGACTATATTTAGAGTCGAAGTGTTAAATACATCTGCACCTAAGCGGGGATTACGTCATCACGTTGGTTGTACACAGTGCAAAAAAAAAAAAAGAAGCTTTGTGTCTCACAGGTGGACAACCGTTTCCTAGTCATTTTGCGACGTTCTTGTATTGACTGACAACCCACGTAATTATCACAAAATGTTGTCTTCAATGGGTGAAGTTTATTTGGTTTAAGAATCTGGTTTTATATTTATTGGTTGGTTTGAAATCACCGGAAAGGGTATTCGACTTTCAAGAGCCGCCTTTGCTGCAGTATCGGCTTAAGAGGTACCTGCTATGCCTACATTACTTGGCAACTGACAACCAGCAAAGGACTGCATAACACGACTGATAGAAACATCAGTTAAAGTTCTAAAATATCGAGGATGAGAGGAGAAGCTTTTGGAGTCTTAAAAGAAGACTTTTACAATGGTGATGTCGAATAAAAGTCACAGCTGTTCAGATAGCGAGGGAATACAGAATGATCTATTATTCGTGTTGTTTTGAGGAAGTGCTATTAACTTGTCATCGTCCTTGGATCAGAAGGTGTAAATAGATCTTTGAGTGTCATATTGTGTTCTTGATTACATTCACGTCGACATACCGACCACTTGTTTCAGATATTTGTAGCTGAGTGAGAATGAGGTCTAACTCCAGCTTAGCATCTGCCATAGAGTAGATGACAGAGGTCGGTGAGATGAAATGATGTTAAGACTTATGCAAGCAGCAGTGACGTGTTGTTGATTCTGATTCCTGGATCGAAATATAACAAAAGGTGTGCAATCTACGTGTTGTACACAGTCTTCATCTGGAAGTTGCTGAATGATGCTAAGAGTTTGCAATTTCTGTCTGCAGGGTAACAACATCTATCCACTTGAAACAGAATGAAGTTCATCGTGGCGTGCATTTTGATACTTGCTTTTTCTACATTTGTCACTGTCGCTAAGAGACGACGTGTACCATTCAAGAATTGTCCATCTTCAAAATCTAACAGTGGGCTCATGATGACCAAACCAGCACGGAGCAGGATAGAGTGTTCGGTCATATGCCTAAATAACCGGGAGTGTCTGTCCGCCTCCTACTGCAAGACCAGTGATGGGTACCTCTGTCTGCTAAGTAGGTATTATGCTGATGGAAGCTGTTCTGGACTTGCGACGTCTGGTGGCTGTGCTCAAACAGTAGTTGTGAGTTATCATCCTTTGTTTTTTTCGGACGTAGTGTCAGGTGTTAAATAA